CTTATGAGCAATCTAAGCATCTGATTGGTTGATGAGTAAAGTGGGCGGAGTCAAATCCCTGCCTTTGACAGTGCTTTGCGGCTATAAGGGCTCCTTACCTACTATGAACCCTATCCTATCTTTACTATCATATCGATTGGTAATCCCATTTCATCGCTTGTTATAATTAATGATAACCATTTGATTAATTGCAGGTCTATTCGCCAGAGTGGTGCTGATGAGCGGCTCGGCCTTAGAGCCGGCCAGCATAGCCCGTGACGCCGATACATACGCCAGACATTTGGCCAAAACCATCAATTGTCCAAATTTTGTAAGTATTTAACTTGTTGTAAACGAGCGTACATTTTAATTACAAAACACCACCACTATAACCAACATGAATTAACTCTAACCCATAGGATAACGTAGTGATGGTGGATTGTCTGCGGCAAAAGTCAGTGGAGGACATCCTGAGGGTAGACCTGATGACACCGCAACACTTGACGGCCTTCGGGCCCATCGTCGACGGCATTGTCGTGCCGTTAGAGCCCCGGCAACTGATGCTCCGGCGAACGGGTGGCGAGACGTCCAGTTCTTCCTCAACCTCTGGGAGCGGCTCATCCGGAAGCGGTTCCTCCTCGTCGTCCACTCCATCCCAATCATCGCAACAGACTTTCCTATTGAATTCAATGGCCAGTCAACGGACAGTCGACCTGATGTTTGGTGTGACCCGAGTTGAGACACCGTTTATATTCAGTGGTCAGGAGGAGCGCCACGGCATCGATCTGTCCCGTCGGGAGCGCATATTACGTACACTTGTGCGCAATCTATTTGACTATCACCAACAGGTATGACACATTCCGCTATATTTTCATCTAATACATGTCACTTTTAACTGTCATTTATTATTTTTGTATACATGATAAATGTCTGATGTACGTTTGTGGTGTACAGAATATTCTGTGCTGTGAATTATTGATGAAAAACATCAAACATATTTTATCTCCAGATATGAATATTCTGTATTATTTATAACTCTTCGCAATGTTTGTATATTTATTATACAGTCGATTTATGATATATTTTATATACAGTAGAATAGTTAGATTTATAATGTCTCTTTGTGTATTTTATCAGACATAGAGTGTAGTGCAATTTTACTATAAGAAAATACTCCTTAATGTTGTGGTTTTATATTTCATAAGTAGCCCTAAAATTTAAAATTATTATATATTTTGTTTATCTTTTGTGATTATATAAAATAAATCAAATAAATAATTTAATTGGTTTTATGGGTCAAATTAGTATTTCAGAAATTATGCTCAAAGATTTTAGTGGATTAATTTACAATAGTAATTAAAAGTTATTTTATTAAATATATTTTAAAATATTTAAATAAATATATTTGCTATATATTTTGCCATAAATAACTAATATATACGCATAACAGACAATTGAAAATATGTAAATGATTTCATAATATATTCTGAATTTTAAATTTAACAATACAAAAAAGACCGAGTTGAATTTTTGTTTAACATAATTGTCGTATAAGAGATTCTGTATATTTTATATATTTCTGGTAATCTAAATGTCTACTACCTATTCAGAGACAATACAGGATTCTAAATTGGGGTAAACATAAATCAATAAAATACTTGACTAAGCTGTAGCCTTAAAATGTAGCCAACTATATTTTCAATATTTGCTTTAATCAATAATTTTATCCTGTTGTTAATTAATATTAATGATAGCTTAGAATATATTTTAATTTCATTAATTATAGATATAAAAGTTGATTCAATAACTAAATAATTGAAAGCATAATTTTAATATAAAATACAAGATGTTTCCAAATAGTTATTTTTGGTGTTTATGTCTAGTGTTTAACAAAGCAAATAATTCACGTATTATTGTTGGATATTAATTTTGTTTATACTTTTTTATAACATAATAATACAGTATAACAACCAATAAAATATGAAGAATAAAGTTTTATTTTTTAATATAAGAAACACTTATACACTATAACTACAACTTATAGTGAAATGAGAATTTTGTTTATACTTTTTTATAACATAATAATACAGTATAACAACCAATAAAATATGAAGAATAAAGTTTTATTTTTTAATATAAGAAACACTTATACACTATAACTACAACTTATAGTGAAATGAGAGACATATTAATAAGGAAAGGAAAAGTTATAATCAGTTTTTATATATAAATATAAGGATATATACGATAGAGAAATAAGTAGCGATAATAATATCCTATAATAATAATAATAATAAAGTGAAGTATTAGTGATGGAAACATAAGAATCAAGCATTTCATTAGTTTCTCCGGTGTTTGTGATATACAATAATGTAAAGATATGACAGATAGATGTACAGTCAATGGGAGATTTGAACAATGATGATAAGGATGAAATAAAATTCATTGTGATGTTTTTTGTAGAATAATTTACAAGTAAATTGCAAATATAATAAGTGGGACTAATTTTTGTGCCCAAGTAATTCAGTTTTATTTTGTTATTATTTTGTTTGTTTTTAATATTGTTTTGTTGTTATTAATGCAGTACTTATTCGAAACGATTATAACTGTTTAGTTAGCTTACAATAAGTTTGTTGTTATAAATAAATACCCATCTTGGGCATGTCTACCATCATTCATATATTACCCAAGTACAACTATTAATATTAATATATCAAATGGGAAACTAAAACAAAAAGTTTCAAATTGTATTAGAAAAAGTTAACCATAAAGAAATAGTGTGGATATTATTAAATCAAACTGGATTCATTATTCACTATAAACTATGAACGTGGTTTTTCTCGTTTGACAGGCGATACTATTAACACTGATAAATGAATACACGGATTGGAATCGACCGATTGAACACCCGATCAATTTACTGGACGCCACGGCCGACATATTGGGCGACGCTCTAGTGGTGGCCCCCATTGTCGAGACCGGCGACTTGCATACCAGGTGGACATCCGGCGCCGGAACCACTGGTGGTGGTCAGTCTGGACACGCATCCGGTGCTGATAATCGCCCCCATAAGACATTTTTCTATGTGTTTGTCTATCAGGTTAGTTATGTTTTGTTACAGAATATTCTTGTAATTGCCTTATTTATGCCATGAAATTATGGTTCAATAACACTAATGATGTGCAGAATATTCCGGATATTCAGATCCGGTGGCGATACTAATGAGAGGATAGGAAATGTTATTCTTAACGCTGTGTCAATAAAAACAAAGAATATTCTTGAGTTTAAGTTTTGATTCATTAAATGTTATAAATAGTTGCAAATAATTTTGTTAATAAATTAAAAATCAATTGATATAAACATAAGTTATGTTTAGTATACCATTAATAAAATTAATAAATTCTCGATATATACAATATGATATTAGACTACAGTATACAGAGAGTATTGTACTGTACTTTACAGTATAACCACTATAAATGAGAGATTGATTTCCCAAATCATCGAGAAAATAGTATTACTTGTTTTGTTTATTTTTTCAGTCTCTCTCTCTCTCTCTCTCTCTCTCTTTCTCTCTTTCTCTCTCTGGTTTCCTTATATTGATTTATATTCAGATCCCATTTGTCGATATAAACTGAATAAAACATTAAATTCAATCAATTTTTGTTTTCTATTTAATTTTGATCCCAAGAAAAAGAAAAACACAGACAAACATAAATTTTATTTAAGTTTGTAATACTTTCTCTGTTTATCTAACATTTCATCAAACTTAGTGTTTGGTAAATATCACAGTTTTTATCATCAAATAAATGAATCTCAAAAAAGATTTCAAAAAATTATTCTAACATGACTAAAACACGAATTTACAGTAATAACTGTTTACTACAAATTGAAGATATTAAAGTTAGCCGTCATAATCACAGTATTTCTTCCATGTATAAATTGTTTAATATGTAAGTTTAATCATTTGCTTTTTCCGTATGTAGAGCGAAGATGGTAATAAGTTGTTGCACCAGAGGTTGGGTTGTATGCACGGCGAAGAGTTGGCGTATTTGTTTGGCGCCCCTCTCGCTGTCCAACTGCTCGGCCGACCCGTCGGTCACTTCGCCGCCAACTATAGTAAGCCTGAGGTCACGCTCTCGGAGGCAGTGATGACCTATTGGACCAATTTTGCCAAATATGGGTATGTTTTGCAACATATTTTCCTTAAAATTTAACGTGCAACATATTATCAAATAATTTTAATTTATAGTTAGTATTAATTGTAGATTAATTAATTATATTTTTACCATCATATGTTTAGACTATTTTTATTTTATTTTTATTATTTAAATTTACACAATAATTAATATAAACAGTTTGTTTGTTAGAAAATTTTTTAAAACATTTTATCCACTAATGATATACTATATTTGAAACACTAATGAATATTCATATAAATACTGTTGTGGATAAATATTTAAAGCATTTTGCAAAACAATAAACATAGAAATGTAAAAACTACACACAATACAAATGATGGTGGTTTTTGAGCGAACAAATAATAAAAATAAAATAATACAAAATAATTATGTTTCACTTCACATGTTTTCATTCATTAACAAATCTATGTATAAAAATATATACCGTATAACTATGTCTATGTAAAATTCTCTATGGATTTACTGTATATATACTGTGTATAATTAGTGCATAGAATTTACACAATAATTCGGCTAATTCTTCAAGAAAATTGATTCTTTTGTTCGGAATTCTGTGCAAAAATTTGTCACAGAATTTAATACAAAAATTTGATACAGAATACAGAATTGTATAGAATATTCTGTATATTTGTGCTATACTTACTGTTATATCACTGCGTTTTGGGTCGCATTTGGATTTAAAGTAAATAAAGTGTAATTAAAATTCTTGAATTAATTTACAAACACAACGCTTTTTATATCTCGTGCTATTATTTCTTAAACGCACCAATAGTTTGTTAATTTATAGGAGAGGGAGAGAGAGAATGAGTAATTTCAATAGGAATTAGATCTCTCTCTCTCTCTCTCCCTCTCTCTCTCTCTCTCTCTCTCACTCTCTCTACGAAATGTTTAAACATTGCTTATCAGCTTTTCTTGGCTTTCATAATTTAGTAGTGCAGTAGTCTTTGCCCGGCATTCATAGGCTAACAGTGCACTGAACTTCTTAAGAGAGAGAGAGAGAGAGAGAGAGAGAGACTGGGAAGTCATAAGTATACTCGGCTTAAACACACGGTTTTATCAATAGGAAAAAACACTAATTAGAATGTCTTGCCTAATCTGTAGAGCACAGGCCTATTTTCCATACTCCCGATGCACTTATGTATACGCTATTTATACAATGATATATTGCAAAGGAGAGCACAATTCACTAATATTGTAGTAACCAGTTATAAGACAGTTAGATACGAGTCGATACCAAAACAGTTAGGCAAAGGCATTGGACAACAACTCACATGTAATTGTATGTAAAAAAACATTTCATTTTCATCCCCACTCTTCTCTATTTACGGTGTCTGTGCTCTCATTTGTACCCACAGTAACACATTCCTCTCTCTCTCTGCAAATTCATGTCTATATTTGTATTAAACGGAAAGTACGGTATAATAAAAACGATGACAAAATATAAAGAATAGACGAGAAAATAAAAGGAAGTTAAAAAGTTTCCTATCTCGCTGTCCAACTGCTCGGCCGACCCGTCGGTCACTTCGCCGCCAACTATAGTAAGCCTGAGGTCACGCTCTCGGAGGCAGTGATGACCTATTGGACCAATTTTGCCAAATATGGGTATGTTTTGAACATATTTTCCTTAAAATTTAACTTGTAACATATTATATAATAATTTTAATTTATAGTTAGTATTAATTGTAGATTAATTAATTATATTTTTACCATCATTTGTTTAGACTATTTTTATTTTATTTTTGTTATTTAAATTTAAACAATAATTAATATAAACAGTTTGTTTGTTAGAAAAATTATTTTAAACATTTTATACACTAATGATATACTATATTTGAAACACTAATGAATATTCATATAAATACGGTTTTGGATAAATATTTAAAGCATTTTGCAAAACAATAAACATAGAAATGTAAAAACTACACACAATACAAATGATGGTGGTTTTTATGCAAGCAAATAATAAAAATAAAATAATACAAAATAATTATTTTTCACTTTACATGTTTGCATTCATTAACAAATCTATGTATAAAAATATATACTGTATAACTATGTCTATGTAAAATTCTCTATGGATTTACTGTATATATACTGTATATAATTAGTGCATAGAATTTACACAAGAATTCGGCTAATTCTTCAAGAAAATTGATTCTTTTGTTCGGAATTCTGTGCAGAAATTTGTTACAGAATTTAATACAAAAATTTGATACAGAATTACAGCGAGAATTCAAACACAAACAAAAATTTTGAAACAGAATACAGAATTGTATAGAATATTCTGTATATTTGTGCTATACTTACTGTTATATCACTGAGTTTTGGGTCGCATTTGGATTTAAAGTAAATAAAGTCTAATTAAAATTCTTGAATTAATTTACAAACACAACGCTTTTTATATCTGTGCTATTATTTCTTAAACGCACCAATAGTTTGTTAATTTATAGGAGAGGGAATTTATCATTTCAATAGGAATTAGATCTCTCTCTCTCTCTCTCTCTCTCTCACTCACCCCCTCTCTCTATCTCTATCTCTCTGCAAATTCATGTCTATATTTGTATTAAACGGAAAGTACGGTATAATAAAAACGATGACAAAATATAAAGAATAGACGAGAAAATAAAAGGAAGTTAAAAAGTTTCCTGAAGAGAGAGAGAGAGAGAGAGAGAGAGAGAGAGAACGAGATTTCTTATGCTAAAAGTAAAATATAAATTCAATAAAAATAAATATTGAATTTGAATTGTGATGACAACCACTACTGGCACTCGTATTAAACGGCTTATAAACTACACTCACATATCATATCAAGAGCTCTATTATTATTATTATTATTATTTTGATGGAAAGTCGTTGAGTGCCATCAATACAGTTATATCATTGTATTATAGAAAATATCTGTTTATTGTTTTGGTTATGATTTTAAAGAAAAAACAAAAATGTTTCATTAAAACAAAAGTATAAAACAAATAAATCTAATGCCACTGAAAAACATTTACGACCAAATCTTCAGACGTGAATACAATCTCTTTTTAATTAGTACATTCATTAATTATATAGATTATATAATTGAATAAATTATATCATTAAAATATAGTTATATTAAATATTTCTATGATTTTTAAATAAATATCTTATAGTTATTAAAATATAATTTAATCAGAATGAATATTTATTTTTGTAAAAAATTTGTATATCATGTTCTAACTTATGTGTAACGAGAATATTAGTGTATTATTATATCATTCAAAATATACGACTAAAAATAGTATTTGTAAAGAATATTCTGCTGAATTATTTCTCTCTCTCTCTCTCTCTCTCTCTCAGACGCATTCATTTCCATTTATTTTTTGGCTTTTATTTAGCAATCAGACACAGACACTGAGAGAGAGAAACACACGTACATACATACA